ATAAAAATAAAACAACGAGCAAGCAAAAAGAACACAAATTTGCACAATTCCGTTCGCGTTGGTGGGTTGTTTGCAAATCTTTCAACTCGTGGGTCCGCCAGCAGGCGTTTATTTACTTTTACAGTTGAGCAAGTTTTGTAATGGCCTTCACATCGAATAAACAACAACTATATACTATATACAGACACAAAAATATATGATTGTAATTCAAGATTTACAGAAAGCACAAGTCGATAATTCCTTATACATTACGTATAAGGTCTATTCATAAAATAGCCCAACAACAATCCTATGGCCAACTTATATACAAATATTTAATTTTAGAAATTAGTTTTGTGTCATTAAAAAGGCCATCAGTTTCTTATCATTGCTCAGATATGATAGTGGATTCATTAGGCAGATAAGGAGTTGGATTTCCAATACATTTTCATAGACTATGTGAACTGCAGTTTTAATCTTTTTAAGCATAACATTTGTTATCTGTCGTGATTTATTAACAATCAAACTTTATAAATAAATTCATAAACAAACAAATCGCAAATCTTACAAAACAGATTTTTAAAAATGCTATACTATAAAGATTCACATTTTTGTAGAAAACAAAATATAGAATATATGTAATTATAAGGAAGCTCTTATCCAAACATTTAAAGCGGAACATTTAAAGCTGCACATGTACACATATACTATAATCAAATAAAACTTGAATGCTCCTACATGTGTATGCCATGTTTATTTGTATCTGAATCTTACTATAATATAAGTTTAATGTATAGAAAACATGATTGACAAATGTGTATGGATGAAATCATTACTGACACGCGATACCCAAAGCTACCTGACTGAATTTTAGTTTACGTTATCAACTAAACTCTTTAACCAAAGTCTGCACCAATTATTGTATAAGCACTTTATACGTAATTGTCCGCAAGTCCCCATTTGTTTGATATTGCCACGAGACTCCCGCAATTGACACAATTGCCATTAAGTACCGACTTTTAAAAGCGATAAGAATGCCGCTATAAAGGAACGCCTATCTCGGCAAAAAAAAAGTTAAGTTGAACCGCGCAAAATGAAAAGACGCAGCAAAATACTTATCGATCCATAATATAAGATCAAGTCGCAACTTTTCGCACTCAAATCATAAAGTACAATAACAACTATATACAATAAAGTTAAAAGCTCACAAAATTGATTACACAATGTATTTGATTTCAATTAGACGCGTCTGCCCATCCTCAACTCCAGAGATGGCACATATGACACACATTTCACTTCTCGTGATTACTTGAAGCTTACCAAAATATACAACAATTGTATTTATGAATGTACTGAGAAAAAAGAGTTATTTAATTTAATCGGCTAATTTATAAATCAAATTTGTATAAAATAAAATAATAAGCTATTTGCTTATTTATCACCTTTTATAACCGAGTCTACAGTTTTTCTATGTGTAGTACTCTTGTAAAAGGTGTTGAGTCGCGTCGGTTGAAGTGAAAAGTACAACAAATGGAGTGGAAATCAGCTTCACCCAATTTGTCAGCGCCAGTGCGTGTAACAATAGCGGATGACCAAAACAAACACAAGCTGATAAGCTTTTCACATTTATTTTGGTGCTAGCCGGCGCTGACTTACATAACTTCCGCTTTACATTGAAATTTGAAGAGCGGGCGATCCGGAAAGGGACACTTTCGGTGCCCATTAATTGCTTGTATGCCGGGTCAGATGTTAATATTTTGATATCAACAACATACTTAGGTCAACCTAACGTGTCTAACATAGAACACAATTGTAGCAGAACACTGGCTTTTGTAATTTATGATTAAGGTTACGTATACGACATGTGGTTCATTAGCTTGAGTGCGCTATTCCCAACTGATTAGATGTGGAAACGTTCGTGAAAGTTAAACAGTTATTGTTTAATTAACTCATGGGTACATAAGCTATTCCATTTGAAAAGATCCTGCCATAAGCTATATCGTATCTTAATAGCTTAATACAACTATTTAAAATAAATGTTTCACAAATTTTTTTGTTTTACTAATTAGCAAAATGTTCCTTTCAATGTTCAATACAGAAAACTTCCACTACTCGTTTCGGTTACTAATGAGTTATATACATTTTTCCCAATTACCGGAGAAGCTACGGGCGCTAAAATATTTCTCAGTAATAGAAGTACAGATAGATATTTGAGCATTGTTTGTTATTTCAGCCGCAATGCTGCAAATATACATACAAGTATGTAGAAAACATGTTCATTTTGTTTATTTAAAAATTAAATTTATATTTTTCTTTCTCAAAAAACTTCAATACCTGTTCAAGCAAACGAAGACGTCGAAAATAGATGCAGATGTTTTCGATAAGAAGCCACCTCAAAAAAATTTCGTTGAAATGTTTACTTGATTTTGTAAACAAGCCAACACAGTTAGAAGAAATGTACACGTATAGATACTTTTATTTTAAATTGCATTATTTCACTTCATGCTATTGTAAAACACAAATTTTCACTCGACTAATATGAAAGGAGAGGGTATGTCTCATTTAATAATCTGTAAATTTAGATTTCTTTTCGCTTTTTCGATAATATTGATTAAACTTTTGGTTACGTATTTGTGTATGTATATATATTGTTCACTCGAATACCATTTGCATTTATTACATACAATGTGTGTCTCTCTGTGTGTGTGTGTGTTTCTGTGTTTGTGTTTTGCGTTGCTCCAATGCGTTTCCGCCACAAACATAAAAAATTCGCGTTTGCAAAAAATAATAATAATTTTTTGATTTCGAAATCAACCCGATGAGTGTTATTGCGTTCGCGTTTCAATTCGGTTTGAAATTGTGCGCGACTCGTTGCTTCAATCCAATTCAATTCAATTTACTTATTACAGTTACAGTGGCGCGCGCGACGTGCCGCGAGTTCACCTGCACAGGTTGAGCAGAGCGAACAGAATGAATCAATGAATGAATAATACAAACAGAGGCACCAACGGCCGCAACGGCTACAACGGCGGCAACGACGGCAACTAGTGGAAATCGAAAAAAGGCCGCGCAAACCCGAAATCGAACAGCGGCAGCGCAAACGAAACGAAGAGTAAAACGACGAGACAGCGACAATCGAGCAGCACGCACCACCACCCGCCCCCAACCAACAACAATTGTTAGCCTTATTACTACCCAAATGGAGCTAATCGCTGTAGCGCGCTTTTTTCATTAGCGCTAACAGCGCTGTTAATGTTAACTTTAACAGCAGTTGGTACGCCAATGCTGTCACCCACAATTCTATTTACACATACCCTTTACCCAAAATGTAAACAGCTAGGGAGACCTATCTTGGGCCTATCTTGGACCTATCTTAGCCACACTTTAATCTGAAGTTTACTCGAAATCGATGAACGAATCATATAACTGCTATAGTATGAACGACTGGTGCAACAAAGTACTTGTAGTTGTCGAAGGACTGCGGACGAGAGTGGGACTGGTGCAGAAGAGTATACAAATACCGAACTACAGCGACTCTAGCGTTCTACTTCTTATATTTACCAAGTTCCACGAGCTGGAAAATGCGTTAACCTATTACAATGGTTGATTGTTTGCGCTACCAAAAAATACGATGGCATTCATTCTCAACAGAACTCTGCAAAATTCTCCGAAATTACATAAACATTAAGCCCATGCTAAGCTTGTTGTTGTTTTTGCACAGCCGCTGCGTCATGGCAGAGCAGCTACCGTAATGGCAGCAGCCCCGTCCAACTTTCCAATAGAGAAACAAAACACAACAATAGCGACACAAAGACCTGCACATATTAATATGTACATACTAATGGATGAAGGTAGGTGCATTGTTTTGTTTTATCTCCACATTTATGTAGTTTTTGTTTATCGCTACGGCAGCGAGAGCGAGCCACATAACACTACCACAAAATATAAAACAGAGCCGTAATCAATGCAGCCACAGCTAATTATGCACATTATAGAAATCTAGCCTACTAAGGTGGGTTAGAATAAAATGGGTGGAATAGAAATGGCCGATTAGTCGGTACTATGTACTATATTGCGAATATTACTAATTGAAATACATTTTTTTTATTATAGGTAATTAAATTTCTATATTTTATCTTTAATTATCAACTTAGTTGTACAACAAAAACGACGATGTATCGCACAAATCTAACCAAAATTGTATACTTTTTCAAAAGATAGTCAAGCCCCCACTCAATTTTTCACACATTGTGTATTTTTTTAATTATTAAAAGCCATTTTTCTTACATCACAAAATTTAAGTGTTGATGCGCCAATATGTTTTCTAAGTTTATTGTTTGTTCGATCCAAAACGATTGCACAGTCCACCATTTCCCCACTCTTTACACCAAACTTGTGCGTTTTATTTTTCATTTTCCTCACTCACATTTTCTTTCCGCATGTTGAAGTGTGCAATTCATCTAGTTTTTAATTAAAGCCATGGCTTTTTTAATTTATTTTCTGATAGTAAGTTTGTAAGTATATAGGAGGTTTGCTTTGGAGCACGTTTCCACAAAAAGTTGAAAACATATTTTTACATAACTACAAATACGAGTAACTATTTTGAATATTTGTTTGACTTATTTATGTGTCTTTCTAAAATGCGTGTTCCTCATGATTTATGCTGGAGCTGCTCTCTGTGTCGGCACACTTTTGTAAGTGATGCTTAATATTGTGGATGGGTCTTTTCAGCAGTCATTTAATTATATATATGGGTATACATCACAATCCTTTTAATACCCTTAAGCAGATTGTGATTAACCTATAGACTGTGGTCACAGTCACTAACCAAACACGAGGATAAAACTCAAATGAAAGGCCTAAGACCAAATAAATAAGAAGTAAACAATCAGATGATAGTTTATTTATTGAACAAATACAAAAGCTTTTAAGCCATCCCATGGGTTGTGTTAGCAAAATGTTGGCCCTTTCCTACTATCCCTAATACGGTAGTTGGCCCATCAGAGGAGTATGTAACTAACCTGGATTGGGCGATGCATTTGGCTCGCCACCTTCATTAGTCGCAGGCGTCCCTTCGGGGCTAGCAAGGGGCGTAGATGTGGCTGCTCCTGACAGTACATGTGTCCTACTATTACCTTCCGGCAACGACAAAGGCCCCGATGCACTCATATCCAGTTCCAACGGGGGAGAGTTTTCCCGCACACAAGACATCAATGCCGAAGACATGCTGAAAATAAAAATGAAAAACAATAAATCCTCTAATTAATAAATTAAAACTCAAATGATAATTCACAAGTTAGAAGAAGACTTAAGTCAGAGCAAATTATATGCAAAGCACCCCAATGCATCATGACATACATAGCTGGATGGACAGCTCTAATGGAAACAACATTATATCAGCCACAGCAGCGGCTATCCATGGCCAGCTGATTGCACTTTTCTCCATTAGCTGTGGAAATCAAACGTCAAACGCCTGTTTACTCTAAGAGCGAACGCAACTGACGGAAATTAAATTTAATGAAAAGTAGCTCAGGGCCTTTATTTAAACTGAAATGCGGCCAATGCACAGTGGATGCCTTGCTTAGAACTGGAACATTTATTTACTTAACAGCTAGTCATTAATCATTGGCCAAATCTTCGGTCAATTATCCGTTTTATGAGCCTAAAGTAGTGTGAGTTTGAGTACAAAATGGCCGAGAAAATTGCAAAGGATGGTGTTAAAAACTGTTGACTCTCTTGTGATTTATTACTTCGTCTTGAGTGTTATTAGGATGATTTTGTTTCAAGTTGTTGAAGCTTCTGGAGTTCCTTTCCTCAATAAATAACAATGAAAGTTAATGAACACATAGTTGTCATGATCATTACTTTGATCGGAAGCTTGGAATATGAAATTATTTAAAAAGGTATGTCGAAATTAAATAATATCTATTATAAGCTCAAAATTGCCTAATTTTAATTCTGTCTATAACTTAAGTAGGTGGCCTTTTTATGGTCCATTCATAGTATACTCAATATTCCAATCCAGCCAATACACGACTAAGTAATACAAAACTAAAATAATTATAGGGAAGAACTTATGAAGTATTTTTATACTAATTTAAGAAGGAAACATAAGAATGCATTACAACCATTCCATTGTCATGCCTGTATACTTCTGCAAAACGATCATTCATTCATTTATTCTAAAATCGACCATGAATTCCCCCATATATAAAGGGGAATATATGTTTTTTAACTTCATTACATAAAATATTATACATTCCAATCCATCATCCAGAATCAATTAATCTACGTTTTTAATTTAAAGATTTGTTTCTTTTCATTTCTTCCCAATCACAAATTTTTGAATACTGATTATTCTAAATATCTCATTCAGATAACTCTCTGGCTTACAGATCTGATAGTCACATGGGCACTTGTTAACTTTCAAGCTGAAAGAGGAGCTCCAATTAAGCCAGAACACGATATGTCCAATTCGTCGTCGTGGATATCATATAACTATGAAATAGGCACCGTGATGCGTTACAAAATGTCTTAACGTGAAACAAATTTAATGAATATTTATCACCCTCAACATTATATACCCTTTTTGGGTACATTTTTCTTGGACCACTTCTTTATGCTCAGCACACATATACATACTTGTAGATTAAAATATATGTTTTAGCAACATTATAGATTTGGAAATTATGTGGGTATGTGGCTCTTAATTTTCGAATAAATAAATGTGAAATATTACTTTTGTTTGCTCTATGTTTAACAAATTAAAATACCAAAAAGCTAATGGACAATTTTTTGCACTAAATGCTGATTCGATTATTTATAATATTAAATTCGAAGACGACGCATATAAAACATTGGATGCTTAGTAAAACAAAAAGAAATAAACAAAAAAATTACGAGTTTAACTCTATTTTCTAAGCCTAAAATAAACATTAAAAAATGGGTTTTGTTTTTGAACTTGTTTTGAAAGGAAACCAACACTTACATCATATATAAAGATATATTTCTTAAATATTTAAGCACTCCAAGGAGTTCGATTATTGTTCGTTTTAAAACCATTAAAGAAAGAAAGAAACTGAGTCTGGAACATCGATTTAAAGTACGGGCTTAATAAGTGCGATAAACACTTTATTTTTCGTTCTGCTAAGCAATTATTCCAGAGTGAAAAATTGGCTTACTTATACTAAGATATTAATCCGTAAACTTTAGATTTGAAGAAGTAGTTCAGAAAAGTCAACTGCCTCTTTCTCCTATTTACCTTCATACTACTTGTATATATGTATATAAGATAGTAAAAATTTTCTATGAAGTCGTTACGCAAAATCCATAACTGATGCGAGTATATGTCTTGCTGATATATTTTTTGTTTGATTTCAATAGCCATTAAGCGCAATGAGATGTGAGTAAAAAGTATTTAGCTTTTAAACACCAATATAGACTAATACTATGTTTCCCCCATTCAAGCAACAGCCAGTCCATTATTCATTTTGGTGTTGCTAATTCTAGTCCAGATCTGCGTAGGCTTACGCCTGCCGCCGCAAATAAACTCACTCTCGAGCGGCCACCATTTGGAGGAAGGCCAAAACCTAATTATCTCTCCTGCATCCGCAGTACTTTCTCTAGTGGCGCTGTATCTGTGCAGCAGTGGGAAGCTAAATGAGCAACTGAGGAATCTGTTGTGGCTCAGCGAGTCTGAGAATGATGTGAGAGACACTTTTAAGTCCATTCTACATGACCACACAAACAGAGGATTCGAGCTACTCTTAGCGAACAAAATATACCTTTCATCGGCCCACCCCGTCTTGCCAAGTTTTAGGGAACTCTTAACTAGCACCCTGAATGCAAACGTCGATAATATTGACTTCAAGGACAGTGAAGCTGCTACCGACAATATCAATCAATGGGTGGCCTTGCAAACCAAAAACAAAGTTCTAAACCTGATCCAAAATGTGCCGCCTAAAACAGCATTTATATTTGTAAATGCATTGCATTTGAGAGCCACATGGGACCAGCCCTTCAATAGAAATCGCACCTCTGAGAAAAAGTTCCATATGACCCACACAAAGACCGTGAACGTGAATATGATGCATCTGGAAGCCGAAGTTCCCTATGGCCATCTATCTGCAATTGAGGCGGAAGTCCTTCAACTGCGCTTTAGAAATTCATGCTTGTCCATGTACATATTGTTGCCTGATAGGCTGGAAGACCTGCAAAAGTTGGTCAAAAGGATGTCACAATTCGATGCCATGAGCTTGCCCAAGCACTTGGTTAATACCCGCATGAGCATTACTATACCAAAGTTTAACATCGACAGCAGTCATAATCTCATACCACCCCTTGCCTCCTTGGGTCTGACGGACATTTTCGTAAGCCATCGCTACCCTAAATTAACGAGTTCAACGGTTCCCATCAAGGTAGACCAAATCCATCAAAAGGCTGTGATTAAAGTCAATGAAATTGGCGTTGAAGCCTCGGCAGCCACAGGTGAGCCAAAAGGATCGCCTTTTCTAAGTCACAAACTATATGCGTCTTCATTTTAGGAATCGTGACGAAGCATCCTGTCGCAATTGAATGTAAGAAGTTTTTTGTAGCGAATCGTCCATTTGCCTTTTATATTCAGGACAAGAACATTGTCTATTTTCATGGATTTGTGCAAGGTTTTCCTACTCGAAACGGCCACAGCTCTCAAACGACCGAGGAGCTACGCAGAAAGAACTCTTTACTCAAAGCAGCTGGAGACAATGACTAGTAATATATTTAAGACTTATAAGTATTTACGAGCTGTGTTTTCAAAATTTATCTTTAGCTGAAAAGCCAATCATGTCATCTAAATAACACCTTAATAAGCATGTAAATTCAAAGCTGAAAAATATATATTCCTCGAATTTAAAATCAAAGACACATAATGGTTAATGATATAAATCCTGCACTTGTCATTGCGCTTTGCCAAAACGCCACACTCCCCCCAAAGATCGTATTTTTGTCGTATCTGTGCACAGAGCCAGTAATGCCATATGTTTTCAGCAAATGTGCAATGCAAAAAAAAAAAACTAAGGCAAAATGTGTTAATAGAATTTCAAGGGGAAACTGAATTCAAGGAAAACTATTTTTAATCGAGAATTTGTCTCTTATTTTGAACTTTGTTCGGCATAGAAATAAATAAGAATGCGAAAAATTGCGATGACGATGTCTTAGTCACATTTCGACGCCAAGTAGTCGGGCGCAAATAATTAAGTGGACTAATAGCAATATGTGGAAAATACTTGGACTTTGACTGCACGACGAGTTGATAAAGCCATGCCTGCCACAAGGATATCGCAAAAGTGCAGGGTTATCTGAGCGGAAAAACTATCCAAACGGTTTTTAGGTTTTAAAGCGGCTGGAAGAGCCAAAAGTTCCAGAGTTTTAATGACGGCAGATACTTTACATACCTTCTGAAAGGACAGTTCATATTGCTTATAATACTCTTCATGTCTTTTCATTAACTTACAGAGGCTTCTATTCAAAATTCAAAAAAATAAGGTTCAGACTAAACTTTGTCGCTGAGCAACAAAAATTATGTTGTAGTCTCTGCCACTGTTCGAGTCGATAATTAGAGAAAGCATGGGATTCTTTTGTACACAGAAATTCCATTAGTCAGGCGTGTGTTAATTTAATCCTGTACCCAAAGGGCAAAAGAGTACTTATACTAGTTTTTATTTTAAATATTGTGCCAGCACAAATGTTTAAATGTTTGTTTTTAATTTTATAGCATACTTTTAAGCGCGCTGCTAAATGCGCCGCATGAGCGAAAATGCGCGCTCCAAAAAGTTTTTAAGCAAACTCATTTACATGCTCATACATAAGCCGACAAAATACATATTTACAGAGCCTGTCAAAGGCATATGGCATGTTGGCATGACATTTTCCCCCAGAGCCACCATACGCACTTACAACACTCACTGCCTGTCAATGGGTACAAATTTCAGAATCAACATCTCTCAGCAAATGTACATACATGTGTGTATAGTATATACTTGTATGTATGTATGTATACTCGTACTTGAGTGCTACACAAAATTCTATGTGTTAATTAGTCAAAGATTATGAGAACGCAGCAGTCGCGTGTCCATATAAGCCAGCACACAATCGCCGCAAATTGCAGTTAAATATTTGCGCAGTCGAATGAAAATGCAGCCGCAAAATTTCTGGTCAATCCTAAAATAAAATCCGAGGGGGGTTGCGTGACAGAAAAATAGCGACGATGATGCTGAATATGATGACGAGATGCTGAGTAGCACCCGCCAACTGAAAAATGAACTGCGCAATGAAATGCACAGCAGCAGCAGCAAGCATTTTATTTCTGTTGACATTTTTATGAGCCCCACTATTGATTAATTAATTAAACGAGCGCAATGTGCCATTGGGGGGCCACACATCAGCACTGAAATTTTGCACAAGAGCGGCGCATAGTTGTGCCATGACTTTGGCATTGCAATGTCAAGGCGAAATTCATTTAGCTGGGATGTTTTTAAATGTACACAAAATGTTTAGTATTTAGCTTTATTTGTTTTAATTGAAAAAATGGCAAAGTTCGTGCAGCCTGAAAGTGTGCTCCGATTTTTGACACATTAACATTAAATTTTAAATTAAAAAAAAAAAAGACGAGCTGAGAGATCACACGCTTTTAATGTTAACCAACACCCCAGAGACGACTCAGGCACTTTGCCAGCCAGCCAAGCAGCCAGTCAGCCACTGTGATAACCGCAACGCTCGCTGCCTCACATCTTGTATCGCAGCGTGAAAATCTAACACATTAACTTTGACTTTCATTTGCATTTTCCACACTCGCACACACACTCACACACTCAGGTGGCTGCAAGTGAGCAAATGCTGCAAAAGTTACGACCAAATAAAACGCAGCACAGATGAGCAACAACAAACTTTAATTATGTGTATCATTTGCATACGAGTATGCGAGTGTACGAGTATATATTTGTATCTATTAGTACGCGCATTGTTTACACCTATGTACGAGTATGTAGCCACGGCTATGTCTGCTTTCTTGTAATGAAATTCATATGAAAATCTGCCAACAAACATAATTATGATGAAGGCCAGCAGCAGCAACAACACTGCGTTGACGTACTCGTACAATGGCCAGGAAGCGACGGCATCGAATTACATGTCATTGTTGTGGTTGCTGTCGCTTCACCGAAATTGCAACAACTGCAACAACTGCAGCAACAACAACTCTATAAATAATATCCGAAAAAAGTTCTCAAGGCAGACAGACAACCCCGCTGTCGAGCTTGAGCTATGGCTTCGTCTTTATTGTGCTGCTCAGGCTCGGCAGTGAATAGCTCGAGCAGAAACACTTGTTACCGCCTCAGATAGCGACAATGTCAGCAACACCTTAAGCAACAACAACAACAACAACAACAAACTGTAACCAGCAGCAGCGCACAATTCAAACGAAACAGAAGTCTTTGCAAAAGCTGGCATAATGCGCATAAAACGCTCAATATGAAAAGGAAAGTGCCCCTGACCGGAAAAGCAGATGAGTAAGCACGCTGGCATAGAAAACTAAAACTAAAAACTGAAAACCAAAAGACAAACAACAAAAAAACTACAACTGCATGCTCATGACATGGCAAGTTACCACTTACGGGTATAACTCGCCAAAGTTACAGCACTTTGTTGACACGATTTGTATGGGCATTTAGACCAGCGATTTACACTTTAAGCGAGCACCTCGCCCTTGGGACTGTGAAAAGGAGCTTGCCATTGGGCAGCGAAGCCAACAAATTGCGACATTACTCCCCTGAAGAGTGTAAAGTCATTTATATGCCTCATTATTTGTGTACGCGAAAGTATAAAGGGCTGTGTGTTATTAACCTTCTATTAGATATTAAAAATTGTGTCAAAATAATCCAATAAGGCTGGCAAAAAATGGCAATAAAAAATGTAAAAAAGTTATTTTTCACTCTTCGCTAAGATTTTGATGATTGCCGGAATGATATTGGACATGAATTACAAAAGGTACGGAAAACAAAGTGTTCGGCACGGACTCGAGCAACAAATTCGATAATAATATGTTTGATTAACTATTTTTGGGCATTCCTTTGCCATGCAGAGTAATATATATATTACTATTACTATATATTTCTATATTTTCAATGGACATTTTCTATCTCCGCTAGCTTGCAAAGCTCTTTTTTGAGCATCTAAGATAGTCTAGAACTGAATAAAATATTATTATTAAAGAACTTTGTAGGTTTTACTCAACTTAGATTAATTTTTAAGATTTTTCAATTTACTAAGAGCTGTGCCATAAATATTAAATGACCGCCTGTTGTAGAAATATTTAAGCATTCCTCTTCATTCTAGTTTTAAAACGAAGAAATTCAAATTCAATTCAAATTTGATAAATAGATGAATTATTAGATGAAATTATTAAGCGATATAGTCAGAACAGCCTTTTGTTCTGTTTGTTTAAAATTTAGTTTTGCATGAAGATTTAAAAATGTAATCTGTCAACATATTTTTAAATATTTGTATTCACTGGAACGGCTTTAGTGGCACGGCTTTGTCATGCAACAAGTCAGTATCCAGAGACATCCTTTTCGTACGAGTGCCACATTTTTCCACTTTAAAATAACAGCTTACTGCATAATTTAAAATCATACATACTCGCAAATATGCCTTCTTGACACTTGGACATTAAAGTCTTGGCAGGTACAATGACACTCTTATAAGACGCCTTGGCTCACTCCCACACCCACGTGAATCGCACGAGTACTTTTGGCTTGAAAGCAAATCCCTTTCAGAGAGCCTTGAACCCAAATCAGGCGAAAGGCATCTAATAAATCAAACTCGTCAAAGGCGAAAATCAATAAACAAACATGTGCAAAAAATGTAAACGTTGCAATAATGTACAGAATTGCGGGGCATCTTGTTTGCTGAGACGGCTGATAACGGTACTTGCGGTGGCAGTGGCGATAGCAGCGGCGAGTTATGCTGCCATCGATGACGCAGTGGTTGGATTGCTGATTCAGCTAAAGGGCGCAGTGACACACTCTCCTCCATTTCCACCCGAGGGAAACACGAGGCGACAAATGCTTTGAATTCAGTCAAATTTGTTGTTGTGGTTTTATTTTTGAAATACTACGTCACTTTCATTTACTCTGCTTCTGTTCTGCCTGCCAGATGTTGTCATACGCACCGAATGATGTCCAATTGAAGAACCAACGTTGCGGGGGATCGCCGGCACTTGCGCGCACTTTCATGAATATTTAAAATATTTTACGCGATTTTTCTTAACCAGTGCTCGTGTGTATATAGTATTTATATGTACATGTTTCAATCAAATTTTGTTTTGTTTTTATCTCTATCTGAATTTGAACGTAATTGCGACCAACAAGCTCGAGAAGCGCGCGATGATGCAGATGTGATGCGATGTGCGCGACTGACTGCCACTGAAAAGGCATGCGGACTAAGCAACATCTTCGCAGCATACATCGCATATGTTGCGGCAGAATGATGCGCACACACACACACACACACACGCTCCACAGGATGACACAAGGAAAAACTTGGTGTGATAGCTACTTGTACAAGAAATGTACGAAAAAGTGGGAGCAACATTATTGCTTTTGCGTATGTGTGTGTGTGTGTGTGTGTGTGGCTGTGTTTGTTTTTGTGTATACTCAAGGTCAAGGAGCATGACTCCTATTGCGCTCTTGCGGGGTCGATTCCATCAGAACAGCACAAGAGAGAAATAGAGAGAGCTGGTGAGCAAGCAGTCGCAGCATCTGCTCTAGCTCTAGTGTCCAGTTTGACAGCAACTGGTGGCGCAAAAAAGGTTGCTAGCAACATGTTGCCATGCGCGGTAGCAACAAAGACGGGTATTTGTTGTTAAAAGTATTAACTATGTTTAATCGCTTTATTGCTTAAGCCTTTAAAAGTATCGTTTGGCTCTTAAGTGTTTAAATTTTAGCTAACTGTAGAGAGAATCATGCTCTCATTATTACTCTACACAGGGTTAAAGTTTTATGATAACTCTAAATTATAAAACTAATATTAATGACGTCCAATTTGCAGTATTTCTTTAAATCTATTATACAAGTATCTCCTGCTTAACTTGGTTATAGAGCCGATCAACTAACTACTCTAAGTTGACTAAGTGTCCAAAAATGTTATTCCCTTCACAATATGCTATTTAATACTCTTTTATATGCCGTTTACACTCGAATCGAAACGAATTTCATTTCAGGGTTATTACGATTTCCGCATATCACTTTTCTAAGCTAAAACGCTTTTTTACAAGTATATGTGCTACTAAAATAGACAAGTTGACTTCTGTTTAATGAGTTATTACTGCATAGTTAGTTAGCACAAATAGATCTGATTATGTTTTTACTTTGAAATCATTGCGTTGTTATAATAATATGGAATTATTGGTGTTCCGTTTCAATAAATCAGCAATTAATTATTGATTACTGTCCGCCTATGTAATTTCTGCTCTAATTACATTCTAAATCTATATTTGCTTCTAGAGTGTGTTCAGTTTCATATTATTTCCTATCCAATGTTTTTGTAAATATATACATTTTATGTGCAGTTAATTGAGTTTATTTCGCTTATCAAGTTTTAAATTCCAAACTGTCTTTTTATTCAGTTCATATTGAAGAGTGAGTGCTTTTTGTTTAGGCCTATTTCCAAATAGTAGAAGGTTATTCAGTTATACTTCCGCGTTGAGCCAATTAGCCGCCACAGCTTATTCAATTCTGGAGAATTGTGAGGGACAACATTTTGTTGCCAGAAGTTTCAAGGCTCGTGCTCTGCATTCGGAGGTCTGAGTAGCAACGACTGCGCAACTCGCCGCCTCGCTCACATCCTTGCCAAAACGCACACACAACAATGGAGCGGGAGCATACATACATACGAGTACATACATACATACATACATACAATCGGCAGCCTGACCTAGTCAACCAAATTGTCGACGGCTGCCGAGGCAGGAGCATGAAAGCCGATGTCGGCGCGACAGTAATATTTTCGACATGGCCAAATAAGGCAAAAGGAACTCATAAAAGGGCAAATGTACAGCTCTGTGTGTGCGTGTGTGTGCGTGTGTGTTTGTGTGGGTGATGTGAGTGCCTTGCGCTTCTTCTAACTGTTGCCAAACTGTAGTTAATTCTGACAGCGACTACCCTTTTCACCTTGCAAGAGGGCCGCATGTGATTCCCGGCCGGAATTTATGCAAAGTTAGTGAAGAAAATGGACGAGACGCCTTCTCAGTGCCATCGACTCCATCGGGCCCGTTTCGCCTTCCATTCGCCATGTGGCGTCAACGGCCTTCGCGGAGCATCGCCCATGACGCTATTTGGGTTTGGAAACATTGCTGACTGGCAGCAAAGCAAGAAAATTCTTTGCTTTTTATGGCTGGCATGGACAATTTTCATTTTTTATTCGTTAATGGCAAAAAGTTTCTTTGCTGACTAGTTGTTTTTTTTTTTTCTTTTTTTTCCATACCAAGAAGCTTTTAAGCATAAGCGATGCGCCCCAATTGGCCGCAGCCAACATTAATATAATCAGGCCTGTGCTAGACCTTTTATCATTAAATTCATATTAAAGTGCTGTTTAAAATTCTGCGCCTCCATTTGGTCACTTATTTTCAAAATAAACAATCGACTTTTGTGAATGCGACCTTCTCCTAATATTCGGACTATTAAGCTGAACTATTTGGTAATATTTATAATTTTGATGTTCAAGGTCGCCCAATTATAAACGAAACTCGGCAAGCCCTTTCGTTAAAGTAAAATAAAGAGAAGCACCACAAACAATGGGAACAATAATTGTATTGTAGACAGAACAAAAACGTCCCAAAGCCCGCATTACCATAACAACGACAAAAAATGTTTACCATCATGCCATTAAATATTGTTATTTATTGCAAGCTACATGGTTAAAAATGTTGTATGAAGCAAAAAACATGCATGTAGTATATGAAGTTAAATAAACCCCCAAGATAAAACTTCAACATTAAAATATAAATATTATATAAAGAGCTTCTATAAAATATCAATAGTTTCCCACTATAATTTTAAATTAAATAAAAACTCAAAATTATGGAGCACCCGACTTATCCTACAGACAATTTGCAAGATATTTATTTATTTATTCTACATGGGCAAACCTATTTATAATATTGGTATGGCATAGGCTAGGTTAGATTATTAAGGGTTAAAAGGGTATACAAGTATTAGGTTTGTGCAAAGTTGTAACACGCAGAAGGAAGCATCTCCGACCCCATAAAGTATATATATTCTTAATCAGTATGACGAGACGATTCGATCTAGAGAAAGTTTAATATGACGTTCGTAGTTACTTGGGCTCAGATCCTGTTTTCGCCATTTCGTCGTCCTTCTTGGTCTTCCTTTTCGCCAAGGATATTCTTTTAGCAGATGATGCAAAGATTTTATAGCAATATAAAATTTTTTTAGTGCTTTTTTTTTGCTGCCATCTATACTACAGTATACTACCCCAGTGCCCCAGTGTCTGCCTCCATTTCTAAGTCGTCTATGAATAGGTTAGTGGCCTCATCTGGTCCCATAAGTGCTGGTTTGTATTTAAAATTCGATTATGGAGTAATGTATGTAGTTCGAGATACTTGCTACTGCTCTTAGCTCTCCCGATTCAACTTTCTATATTACTTGAGAAAATAATTTGCTCCACCTCCATACTAACGATTTTGATGCTCAATACATATACTTTGTTGCCTTCGCATTCGACACAAGAATACACTTAGCATTCATTTTTAAACAAACAAGAAAATTAATTCCGAAAAATATGCTACACATCAAAGCCAAATATTTCGTGAAACCACAAAGTAAGGCAAGAGTGTATTTTAAGTTTATTTTGGCTAAAGCCATGAACTCACCTGATTTCAATTTGTTACTCAATGTTGTGTTTTCAATTTGCTTAATTTAATGTTCAAATTGCTGGACTGTGGGTCTTTCTGGGCGTTCGTTTACATATTTCGAATTTGTTTTAAGGCTGAAAGATAGCAATATAAATACAATATTATACATATAGAACGAGTGTGCAATGCATCAGCGTAAACTATTAGTGAAAAGTACATTTAAATTGAAATTTAATTGTAAGCAATTACAATGCTGTTGCATTAATAAAGATTATTTATTCAGAGCTTAATTGGTGCATTTTGAAAAAGGGTTGACATTTAAAATGAAAAAAATAGAAAATACAAACTAAAAAAAACAAATGTGAATTTTCATCGAATTTTTAGATGCAGGGGAGAAGAGATCCTACCCTATGGATCTTTCCAACAAACACATCCCTATGACACCATCATTACTTTTTAAGTTGATAATACCTATTTTGCTTAGCAAACACTTCAATGAAAATTATTCAAATAATAACAATAAAACGAATACAAATTTAACACCTGAAAGAAGACATTTCTTCTTATCCATTCTCCATTTAACTGCAAATAAGACTAGAGCTCCTGCTTTTTAAAAGCCAAAGATTATCGCTGCACCCGTATTATTTGGCTTTATTTTTAAATATTGATCTATGGCTTGTAATAAACCAAGAAAAAAACGGAGAGCAACATCACGACACCACAAGAAACCACAACAACAAGGACGAGAATCATCTGTAAGTCATGATTATCTCCCCATGGCACAACAGGGTGTATTATGCAAAGCCTTTGGCCATTCACATGTCAGCATGGGTTTCAATAAAACTGAAAACAAACTGAAGTTTGTCACGTTTTTGTCTCCATGGCCAGCGCCACAAAAGGGGCGAGGGGGAAGGTAAAGGAGCACAAATAGTGAGTGCAGAAGGAATTTTGCTTTGGGTTAGGCGGTCAGAGTAATTACAGCCGGCAGTTTTTTGCGCAATATCCTTTGAATTTGCATATCGCATATTTGTATGGTCTATTGAAAGTTTGCGCTATAATTTCGGCCCCAGTCCGCAACACCCAACCCCACCACACCCCGATAACGAAGCCATTCCCTACACCAGCCAGAGGAAAACATACATAGAACTGGTCGCAGACACACACACACACACAGACAGAGCATGCAGCCTTCGTGTTGCCAACTGATTTGCATAACAATGGTCGTAAAAAATGTCGATATCCACGCTCGCTTCAGAACAACCCTTGCCATCTCCTGCAAACCCATTTCAATGCTCAAGACTTTGTTTTAAATGGCACAATGAACTCAATCTTATGAAGAAATTTCCGAGGTTTTTTACATATGCTGATGAATACTCCTGGGTGTTTCCTTTATGTAGAAATATGTAAGCCGACGCTAAGAAAATGTAAAGCATTCAATTGAGGATCAATATACTGCCCGAAAGATAGACTTAATAATGTTAATTGTAAATAGACCGATTAGGCTTGAATATCTATAATAATATTATAAAGAGGAAAGGTTTGATTGTTTGTTTGCTTATTTAAATCGAAAATCCGCAACTACTGGACCGATTTAAAGGATTCTTTCACTGTTACGAAGCTACACTATCCACGATTAACATAGGTTATATTATATTTGCAAAAAAGATAGCGATACTTAAAAGGCCAATAATGTAGCCCAAGGTTTAAAAAAAATTACATAAAAAATTCCGGAATAGGATGCTGTTAGTTCAGAATCATACTCGAATCATTTTGTCACTTAAAATATTAAGGGAATAATCTTCAAAGGTCCCCAGCCAAAAAAAAAAAGAAGACGCAGTCCATTACCCGCAGGAATTTTTAAATTTTTTAAACCTTTCTGGACAGCCGCCACATGAATTGAAGCTAAAAATCGGAATTCCAATCATGCTTTTAAGAAATTTAAGCTCTTCGCGCATGTACAATGGGACGTGGTTGCTAATTAAGGAATTGCAGGACAATTTAAGTGTAGCAAAAATCATCAATTTAATTTAATTTAATTTCGGGTAAAAACAGCTTTCACGTTAATTAAGTATTAACAAGTCCAAATGCCAAACCTTCGAATTAGTAGGGATCGACCTACGAAAGGAATGTTTTAATCATGGCCAACTGTTGACCTACCATGGGTCGAAGCTCCTGTAAATCAATATATTTTGCTGCCACAAAATAAAAAAAAAAACATCAAATATCGTTTACAGAGAAGCTCTGACTCAATAAAGAATATAAAAAAATTTAAATTTAAATCATAAAAATAATACTATCCAAACTATGTTGATAATTTTAGGAAAAGGAGGGTGTATGTGTGTGTTATAAAATTTATAAAATTTAAAATTTTTGTAAAATACCCGTGCGAAGCTGGGACAGGACGCTAGTATAAATATATATGTATATGTACATATATGGTTTTGTATTTAATACTTTTTAGATTTTTCCAAAATCCAGATTTTTAGTAGAATGACGACTATTGCTGCACGTTTCTCTTATTTATTTTGTATTATGCTGCGAATCGGCCATAACACATTGATATTTTTACATAATTGAGACAGAATTGATTACAGAATTGCAAGACTGTGAGTAATTATAAATCTAGCTTTATGCGATGATGATCGAACCCAAATTGTGGGATTCCTGTTAGCTCATTCCCTGATGTCAAATAAGACAATGTTTCATTTGGTAACCAACGGCATCCTTTAAGCCCGGTAAGAAAACAAAAAGAAGGAAAACAAGTAAAACCTCTGATAATATATAGCAAACTATCCTGGCCAGATTTAGGAGCTGCCACAAAGCACATAGTCCAAAAAAAACCTAAATATGTAACTAGTTATAAGCCACTGCTCAGCTCTAGGATCTAGAAGTCTTATCTTATACGAACTACTTACCACGGCATACACTATATTACAATCTAATAACCCTTTTCTAATAGAGTAAAAAGAAATCGAAATAAAATCCAAAAGTAAAATACACTTTAATATTTCCTGGGAGTACGATTCCAACGATTTAATTATTTGGAAAATTATTACTTCTGGTTACTAAAGTCATGTCTAATTCATGCTCCCCAACTGCATGCTAATTAAGGCAACCTCCAACCCATATTAGGGCCCATCTGTAATTCGGCACCATTAGTGGTAACGTGTAAGGCTGTACTATTACGAGGCTACATTACCATTGCTACGCCCGACGAGCGCCGACTCTTTTAAAACTCGACACTACAAGTCGGTCTTGACTGAAAATTGAGTGTTGTGGCCATAAAATATGCAAATTGTAAGTCGTAAGCGGCATATCAGTGACCCACTGGGTTAGAACGGACCGTAAGCGTAAACTTTCACTGAGCTGGCTGCCCACACGGTTTGGATTGGACCTGGTAGGGTTATCTAATTGGTTAGTCGAGATACAGGCAGCTGAAGATTAATTGCAAGACATATAAGTATGTATATGTTTTTCTATTTATCTTCAAAATACTTATAAATCGCCGTCGAAGAGCAACAATAGCGAACCAAATTGAAAAGTAAAAGTTTGTTTTAGGCAGACGTCGGACATTCAGACAATGCATAAAATAAAAATTCATGAATAAATTATTGTATACCTACGTGTTTATATTTGAACACAAGAGTGCGACGAATCGCCAACAAAAAGCGCTTTAGAATTATTAACAAGTTTTATCTGTTATTGTTTTTTTTTCTCCTGTTCCAAAACCTGATACTGAGGGTTTTATTTATTAGTCTTTGAAATTGTAAATTGAATTTCATTTCATTTTCCCAGATGCTATATTAATATTGAATTCGTTTTAGGCACAGCCATTAAAAAGTTTTCCGACTCCAAATGAAAATGCAAGTGCTGAGGGACCATTGGCTGAGGAGCCGCCTTAGAAATCCATTTGGCTATGAATCTCGACAAATGACAAATGAGAAAGGCAAGCACGGATATAATAGTGTTTGAGCAAAAGTATGTACATACATACTTGTATGTTTGTAGATACATACAGTATGTCATTAATTTCGTGCTATATTTGTAGCAGCTCTGTGCGTTTTAGTTTTGGTGTCTGTCGCTCACTTTCTCGTTTTTCTTTTCTTTTTTTTTTGGCGACTTGGCAAAAGTTAAATATGGGTCAGTCCAAATGTTTGGCATAAGTTCGCTGAACTTTAGGTCACCAGAAATCGCAAATGAGTGCGCGAAGATTTAAATTTAAAAAAAAGAACTCCAGTTATACATATTTGAAAGTTAAACATGTGTGTGTGTGTCTAAATAGGGCGTACAAGTTATTTCTATCGGGCTTTATATGAAATATGTATATATACTTGCACTTATATACATATTTTGAGCAAAACTCTAAATTATTTATTTATTTTTTTTAATCTTTTTTATTTATTTAAGATCTGTCCTAAGGAGGACAATTATTAAATTATATGGTAGCATAGGATTTGTTCAATCATGCGTTCTGTCATGAAATAATAGACATTTTCTGTTACTGAACCCTTTAAAAGATCCCTCCCAAGTTATTTCGGTTCAGCTTTACATGAAATATATATACTTATATACATATTTTAAACAAAACTCCAAATTATTTAGTAAAAAAATTTGAATCTTTCTGTTACTGAACCCTTTAAAAGATCCCTCCCCAATTATTTCTATCAACTTTTACATAAAATATATATATATATACATATTTTAAACAAACTTAAAACAAAAATATTTATTTACAAAAAAAAATTGGCATATTTCTGTTAGTGAAACCTTTAAAAGATCCCTACCAAGTTTTTTCTATCAGCTTTTATATGAAATATATATACATACTTATATACATATTTTAAACAAAACTCCAAATTACAAGTATTTAGTAAAAAAAAAATTGGCACCTTTCTTTTTCTGAAACCTTTGAAAGATCCCTCCTAAGTTTTTTCAGATTTTACATCAAATATATATACTTATATACATAATTTAAACAAAACTCTAAATTATTTAGTTTAAAAATTGGGCATCTTTCTGTTTCTGAACCTTTTAAAAGATCCTTTACCAGAAGTAACCAGTGACCAGCACAAAGATTTTTTCCTATCTTCAGTTTAGGCATCTCGGATAATATGCCTCACAGAATACTTACAGT